CATAGTTTTGGAGCTGGGAAAAACAGAATTTTCTGTGTTGTGTGTGTTGTTCTCCCGTGTAGAAACACTGCTGCTACACCCCTTCTTATATAGGAGGTGAGGAATCAATAGCATTTAGTTTAGCATTTAATCCACGATTTGTAACACCTGAAACAGCCACCATTATTGAGATTTAACTCAAAAATTCAAAAGGTGGAATTAATACAAGATTAATCCTGTAACAGTCCAGAACCAACAAATGGTCCGCGCTTTCAGCTCAGTTACTTTCGGGATGCACGAAAGTTCGTGCTTCAGTGCACACGAGACTGAACTCTCACGGCTGGAAATCACCATTTTTCTGACCTCCTTTCCGACCACCCAAAAAAGTGGTCGCAAAAAATTAAATTTTTTTCATTTTTCGTCCGAAACTTGCACTAGTCGGAAAATGGTCAGAAATACCGACACTATTTAAATGTGGTCGGAAATGTTTTCAACCATTTTAAATTTTTAAAATTAACTTTATAATAATAATATATAAAAAGCTCAGCTCCACCGCCGCATACGAATACTAGTCTTTTAGGACACAAAAGTTTTTCAAGTGTTACGCTATTTCCGCGACACCTCAACGGAAATTTTTAAAATAAAAACAGATATGCTCGTCATATCCTCATTTCCTCTCCTTCATCGCTAATAGTCAAGGGTTCAGCCTGAGACCACAGCCTCCAAGCCTAGGACTCGGAGTTGAACGAGCTTGCGGCGGCCGAGGAGGAATCGGACGATGTTGCTGGTGGAAACCTCATGCGGAGCAAGGCTTCACCGACTAACTCCCATTTCTACCTCTTTGCTATGGAGACCGGTTCGAATTCCACTAAGAAATCGACCAGAGGAAGGCTGAAGAAGGTTATCGATCTGGCGGAGGATGTTACTGAGGTTTCGGAGTTGAACGAGGTTGTGGCGGCCAAGGAGGAATTGGACAATGTTGCTGGTGGAAACCTCATGTGGAGCAAGGCTTCACTGCCTGAGCGGAAACGGATCTGGAAGAGGAAGCGAAGCAGCGTTGGCCTCACCGCTACCAGAAGGTTTGAGCTTGGAATTGCATTTATTCTCTTCTTATTTATTGGCTTGATGCGGTTTAAATTGAGTTACTTCATTTTTTTGTTTATTCTGTTGTGTTTTGCTATGCATTTCTTGATTAAATGTTTCTGGTTATAGGGCACAGAAATCAAATGGTGGAATTAGGAGTATAACTAAGTAAATTTCCTCTGCTGGTGAATGCCTCATTTATGTTTTGTTTTAATGCATATATTCAATCAAAGATTTAGATTTTTGTAGAGTTTTGTGTATGTTCTGATTAGATAATATATTAAATTTGTAATTAATTGGTGGTGCAGCCAAGATGAATCTGGTGGGGTACTTCAGGCTAAGAGACATTTTACAGCAGCAAAAGTTGATGGCCTGGTTTATAAGCTTGGGGGTGATGCTTATGTTAAGGTAAGGTTCTGATTTTTCTTTTACTTTTGTCATTAGGATGGGATACTTAGGCATTTTTTGAGAGGTTATGTAATCTTTCAGCTGAATGAGTATGCACTATTATTTGGTAACTTCTAGTTTTTAGTAAATATTCATTGAACATGGTTGGATAATTCCTTCTGTGGTATTATCTCAATTCTAGGACATGTTGTACTGTTCTGTTTCAAACAATAGGAACCAAGGTTAAATAAAGAAATTTATTGAAAAATGACCTTTTGGTGAATGAATTTACCACAGCTTCTCTAGGTTTCTATATATGAATTTCTATATATACATTTCTATATATGAATTATTTATTGTGATGGCATTCTTGAGATGTTCCAGATGGCCCTCCCCGGATCCTCCCAATGATGGCGCTTAGAGGAGATGAATTATTGTTGCACCAATTGTTGAAATGGGGCCTTCACCCAATGAATCTGACAACAATGGGAGAACAGCTCTTGAATGTGAACTCCACTGCTGAATTTTTTTAAACTGTGTGGCTGAGTGCCACATTTCAATCAATTTCTTTTGCTTTTCCATTTTCCACCCTTCAGCATATAGCAGTATCTAAAGGACATGAGAATTGTGTACTTCTGCTGGACTTTGGGGCCGTTCCCAACATTAGAGGTATATAATATTTTGATACAAATCCAGTAGCCAAATTTAGAAGATACATGATTTAAATTTTACTAACTTGTGAAGGACAGTCATATTCCACATTTACTGATCATCATCAAATAATATGCTACAGATTATTTCTTCTTGTTTGTTCATCATTTTTTACAACCACAGAACACATAAGCTTTCAAGAAGTATCTGTTTCTTTCATTATTGATGATTTGCCACTTTTTCTTAGGAATACAAATACATCACGAGAATGAGGTTGACTTACATTAGTTCATCTGTGGCATCCCATCTTAGGAATACAAATACAAATACTTGTTCGTGATATCCCATGGTCTCAAGAAGAATCATAAGCTGGTGGCAAAATTCTTTACAAGTTATTATGCATAAAGCTATTTATCTCATCAGATCATATACCGGTCAGGTGATGTTCAGAGACTGGTGGTAAGTATCTGATAGACCTTTTTGTGATTCGTGAAAGATAAATATGCCAAACTAAAGCAAGCGAGTAAAACAGATCATCCCGTTGGACTCAGTGTAAGAACTCTCCCCCTCACTCATTCCCTTTTTCTTTATCTTTATATGTATTCCCTTCCAAAGTAAGTTTCTGCTCCACGAATACTGTTTTTATTTTGTAATTAATTAAATATGGAAAGGGTTGCTTGCTCTAGTTTGTTGTCTTTTGCGTTAGCTTGTCCGCCACTATTACCTCACACTGTCCTTTTCAATATTATTGCCAGGTGAATGCTGTAAAGTTTAATGATTAATGATTATGCTACTGTAGTTGTATCTGCCGGATATGATAAATCTTTGCGCATTTGGGACTGCAAATCTCACAGTACTGATGAGCCAATTCAGGTTCGTAACTTTCCCTTTCTTATACTGTAGGTTATTAGTCACATTGAAACTATATTTTTTAAAAACCTCTGAGGTTATAAACATAATGACTTTTGATTTTGTGGCTATGGGTTATGTCGACCTCTTGAACAATGTTACTTTTACATGTGTTTTTTCTAAGATTGAATTAGTGTGTACTATTTGCCAGGTTTTGATTTGTCAAAATGAAGGTGAAAGGTGCATGAAAGAAACATCTATTAATTCACTGAGGATAAGCCTCAAGGTACTGATAGCAATGTGCATATTCCTATTTTTGTTTCTCTATACAAATGTTCTATAGCATATTTACACTGTGGTGATCATCTGAGGCATTCTAAGCACCAGCTTCACATCATGATGGCTCATTTTGGCTGCAGTATGCAACTGTGTATCTTCTTCAATATCCCAGAGGCCAATGGGTTCAGTATACATCCAAATTCCATTTATTGGTTTCCTTGACATTTTAAGTAGTTGTGTACATGGTGTTTGCATGCATTATGTATAGCTCGAGATTTTGATTCCCAAAAAGAAGAAAAGAAAATACAAGTAAAAGCTTATGTTTGTCACTCTCTGTTGCTTTTCCTTCTATAAACATTATAGGAACATAAGAAAATTGAATCAGATGCTTGTTTAGGCTCCAAGAGAAGTTTTTCATTCTGTATTTTTTTTCCATGTTTAGATCCCAAGTACAGTGCAGGCAAATGCTGAAGTTCCCGAGGATGAAGAAGACATTGATGAAGAAGCTGTAAGAACTGCATCCATGTATCATAGTTTTTGTCTTTTCTTTTTAGATTAGATTGACTTGTGTTAAATTTTTAACTGTATACTCATGATGGATTCTTTTCAAGTATATGAAATGTCTATTTTGTATGTGTTTTTCAACAAATATCTTACCAGCTTGGAACTATATATATATATATATATATATATATATATTCATTTCATTACAGAGGATTCCTCTGTAGTGAAATGAATTTTTTTTATTGACCGCGTCCAGTTTTCCGACCACCAAATTGGTCGAAATTTTCGACCACTAGTGGTCGAAAAAGCTGGACCCGCCTAACTATTCTCTTGGCCATTTTTCCCGACGGCCTTAGAAAAGTGGTTACTCTTTCCGACCACTCTCTCGGGTGGGTTGAAAATAGCTAGAGGATTTTTCCGGATACTCAAATTGGTCGGAAAGAGGTCGGAACAGGCATTTCCGACCTAATTAAGGTCATTTCCGACCACTTTTCGGTGGTCGGAAAATGGCAAATTTCCAGCAGTGTCTCGTGTGTGCTCACAACACGAGATTCAAACTCTCGTGTAAGTCACACGAGAGTTCGAACTCTCGTGTAACCTCATGACAGCGCACGAGAGATCAAGTCTTGATCTCGTGTAACCTCATGACAGCGCACGAGAGATCAAGTCTTGATCTCGGGTGATCTCTCGTGGTGTGGCCATATAGTGTTGGAAAACTGTACAGAAATTGGCATAACTTAGCCCGCAAGGCCAGCCAATTTTCGGACGACATTCGTGCCCCCAGGTGCCGGCGCACACGAGCTCGGGCTTGAATCAAGCCTTTTTCAATCTCGTTTAATTGGAATTTGATTTGCACCCCCCCCCCCCCCCCCCGCGAGAGAGCCTCTATGCCTATACAATTCTACAAGCTCCAAAAGAGCTCTTGTATAAAAGGGGGGTGAAATCCTCTTTCCAAATCAATGTGGGACAAAGCTCACTTTTCCCTTACATTTTTTCCAACTCAATGGGTCTACTTTGAGAATCAATATCTCATTCACCCATTATCCGTTTTGAGCGTGCAATATATCAATCTCTTCGTCTCACTACGAAGAACCCGAATCCACTTTGACCCGACCCAAATCGGAAGTGGACCCCACTGATAATTGTACCACAAAATAGCCACTTAATATGTCATTTTATGCCATTTTAATGCTATTTTTTTCAACATATTAAAGTGTTACACCATATCTTTTACCTATAATTTGGACCTTCATTGTTTTTGTTACGAGATGAAAATAGATGTTTAGAAGATCTAAAACAAAATAAAAATGTAATTAAATTTTTTGTCCAAATATAATGCATAAAAAATTAATAAAGAAAAAATACAATTCAAAAGTTAATTTAATAGTTTTATTTTCGTTCATATTTAAATATAAAATTATTCACCAAAATTTAAATGCCAATTCATTAAAATTTTATTTTACAATTCATTAAAGTTTTATTTTCAATTCATTAAATTACATGGCATAGAACGGCCCTGTGCGGTGCGGTGTGGTGTTCAGAATGGTGCGGTTATTGGTGTGGAGGAGTTAAGGGCGGTATGATAGGGGCCGGGGTTGGTAATCGACCTTTCCGGCATGCATGGGACACGTGGAGAATGGATATGAAAGAGTAGTTAACGTCGTACAGTTAGCTATAGCCCATTTCTTTTGCCGCGATCTTTGTAATAATTGGGCCGCCAGCCTTTGGAAGAATAAACCTTCGGGTAATAAAGGGCAAATTATGATGTGCAATCGTGTGCACCATGCATGGTGCACACTGTTCTATGTTCATAATTACCGAACTATATATTCATAATTTTTTAAATTCAAAATATTCATAATAATTGAACTCTATATTCACAATTACAGAACTCTATGTTCATAATTTTCGATGTTCATATTCCCAATTGTTGAACTCTGTATTCACAAATCACAAAACTATATGTTCATAATTTGATAACTATACAATTAGAAATTATGAATCAACAATACAGAAATTATGAATCTGCAGTGTAGAAATTATGAATCTACTGTATAGAAATTATGAATCTATTGTATTTAAATTATGAATCTACGATTTAGAAATTATGAATCTAGAGTAAAGATTTTATAAATCTACAGTATAGAATTTATGAATCTACAGTATAAAAATCTATGAATCTCGCGTTCTGTACCTATATACCCGGTACTATTTGGGTCTAGCGACCCGGGTAATAAAGCTACTATTTTCTTAGTCCCGTTCTATACCTATATACCCGGTTTATGGTGGACCCGGTCCCTATAAACCATGAATATACTTATTTAATTTGGAAAAAATATGAAGGCTTATTATAAAATAAAAATAAAATTTCGTTATTTTCCTTATTATATTAGATATATATGTTATCACTACAAGAAAAACAGTTTTTAGTGACAGAAAATTAGTGACAGATGAAAAACTCCCTCACTAAATGTATTATTTGCATAATTTTTATGAAAGTTAAAAATTACTCTAGCTAAAGATTTATAATTTAGTGTTGAAATTTTAATTTAATACTTATTTTAAAAATATATACTCTCACTATTGATAAGAAAGATGTTATTACTCTCAATATTTGGTGTGTGAAAATTATTTCATTAAAATCTAATTCCCACCAAAACCTAAAATCTAATTCCCACCAAATTTTTACAACCCACACATCTTTCTCTCTTCTCTCCTAAATCCCTAAAACATTACTCCGTAGTTCTCTTCTCCAAACGCCGCCTCCAGACCGCCATCGCCACCTCCAATTGCCCAATTGGCCGAAAAAATGGCGCCTCTCGCTGGCCAAAAGAAAAACAAAGTAGAACTTAGAGGTGTACCCCAATTTCCTAATCGTCTACCCTTCTATCGCTTCCCTAGTTCCCCCAACTCCCCAAGCCCTAACTCAGCTGACAGCAAGACTCCGCCTCCGCCCTTGCCGAGTCCCGACCACAAAGCTGCTGTCGACGACACCGGAGGACTCCGCATCTCCTCTCCGGTCTCCGCCTTCGCCCAAGCTGCGGCCTAGTCTCCGCCTCAGCCCCTGCCGACGAGGAAGCTACTGCCCGGTCTCCGCCTCCGCCCCTGTCGACGACGAAAACTGCTGCCTGTTCTCTGCCTTAGCCTCACATGTGAACCAAGGTAACGCCTCCTGCAATGAAATTCATAATGTGTGCTAGACCGTAATTTGTGAAATATGATTTGCAATTGATTTGTGTTGGACTGTATTACTCAACTATGTTTTTATTTATTTATTTATTTTTATTTTTTTGCTTATTACTCAACTGTATCAATCTAGTTTGCAATTGACTAAGGCTTTAAGCAATGTGTTATTTTTGCTTATTCCCTTTATTGATAGGACAATAAAACACATGCTTTTCATGAAAAATGTTACTGATGAGGCTATAATATGATGAGGCAACAGGTTAAAAAAGAGCTTAGTTGATATTTACTTTTTGCAGCATAGTGATTCAATGTAGGAGTCTTTTCTACTTTATTTTGGGTAATGGGAATCATATATTTTACATTTTTACAGATAATACTTATCTTTTCACATCTTGTAGTTGATACTTTACTACCAAAATAATGCATATGTGATGGCTAATTGCTATGACTACTGGATTTGTCTGAACCTGCTTAATGCAATAAATAAAGATCCTATGTATTACATTTTGGGACATTATATATCTCATGTTACCCAAGCAGGAGAAGGAGCTAATTGAGAGGCATCACACATGGCTTAATGACGAGTTAACTACCAAAGTCAATGATCTCATAAACCTTCGTAAAACTCATTCCAAACTTGAGGCATACATGTCTGTTAAACTTTCTGATGTAAGTTGGTATTGAAGAGCATGTCATGCCTACTATTTATTCTTTGGTTCACCCACACAACATCACTGATATGAATGTATTGACAAATTTAGGTAGAGAGGAAGTTCAGTGAAAGTTCTAGCTCTTTGACATGGTACAAGGACAGAGTAAGGGAGCTGGATTTGAAGTTGGCATCCTTGGAGCAGGTTTGTCTGTTAGTTTCCATTATGTTATTTATTTTCCTGGTTGATCCATTTGTTTCCTAATAATTTTTGTATCTTCATTACATAATTGAAGGAGCTGTTATCATCAAAGGATGCAGCTTCTAGGACAGAGGAACAATCATCTGCTAAGATTTCTACTGTAAGTGTTTTCTATTTTTTCTATCCTCTTTTATACTTAAGTTCATGAGTAAAGTAATTAATTCACAAAAAAGCATTTAGCTGGTGAACACAGAGCTTTAGAATTTACTTTTGTGGCAATAAATTTTTTCTTGGCATAAATTCTGATGCATGTAGCTCTTAATCATCCTCAGATAGGAAATGCATTAAATGTTTTTTTCCCCAGTCTTAATACCTGCACTTTGTTTGGTTTATTAGACATTCAATTATACCACCTTTTTGTCTATTAGAGCTAGAAGCTATTGTAGTTGTCCACTGAAAGTTTTCTTTATAATAGGCATGTAGCTTGCCTTGTCATAGACTCATTTCCCTCTTTAGTTAATTTTTTGACGACAAGGATCAGTGGGTGCAGCCTTCTTATTGTAAAATGTTGGTATGTATAGATAGAGTTGTAAAGATATCAATCAAAAAGATACAATGCAACAATTGTATTAAGTGTTGGAACTGTAAAACTGTATATATGTTTATGTGTAAAACTGTACAAGATAAAAGCCCTATTTATACGTAGGCTAAAGACTACCAGCCACATAATTCAAATTCTAAAAAATTGTAATGCCACCTGGAGAAAAGTAGTTTTATCTGAATTATAGATTCTTTTTCCCTCTGTTCTTTAATTGTGGTTCGTTTCTTGTCTCCTAATAGGGATATGGATTGGCTTGGTATTAACTCAGTAAAGTACTCAAATATGCTGAATATATATGCAAAATCTCTTTACTATATTAGGGCATGTTTATGCATCCTACTACTAGGCTCAACCTTGTTTGGCTGTTTTACGTGAAGTATGATTTATGAATTTTCTTCTAGTGTTAGATAAGGGTTCTGCACCACTCATAATTCTACAATAAAGAGATCATACTTGCATGCTGTGTGATGGACTTAAAGTTGCAGGTTGCATCTGTACCTAACATTCTTAATTCATGTAGTTAAACAAGCTTGTGGAACTATATAAAGAGAGCTCGGAGGAGTGGTCTAAAAAGGTAGGTGAACTTGAGAGCGTGATTAAGGCATTGGAAGTGAGTTTGCTTTGCAGTTGGTTATTTAAATGAAACTCATAGTAGAAGCAAGATGATGGGCTTTGTGATGCCTTCCTACGGGTCTAATGAGACCATTTAACCTTTGTTTGTTTATTATATTAGTGCTATCCTTTTTAATAGTGCAAAAATGTACTCACTTTTTACATGTAGTTCCAACAAGTTGATTATGACAACGGTTTTTAACGGTTATTGTACTCATTTAGACTTGGCTCGTGAATTATTTTTTGTAGTATTATGACTTGATGATATATGATTTGATTAGAATTGTTCATGGAAGTATTTAGACTTGTTAATTAGTTCTTTTGTAACTACACTTGGCCATGGTGAATGGATAAATTGATTTTTTATATGATTAAAATTTCAGCAGGTTAAAAACGGTTAAAATCGTTGAGACAACGGTTTTTTTACAAAAGACAACAATTTGAAACTGTTGTCTTTTCTAAAAAAGACAACACTTTATGGACGTGACTTTTAACAACAGCGGTTTTAATAACACAATTGACAACAGTTTATAACTGTTGTTTTTTAAAGAAAAGACAACAGTTAAAAACCGTTGTCTATGTGCATCACTTTTAATAACATGGGTTTCAACAACATTGAATAGACAATGGGTTAAAAACCGTTGTCTTTGAAAGAAACGACAACGGTTTAAAACCGTTGTCTATGTACATGACTTTTAATAACACCGGTTTCAACAACACTCAATAGACAACGGTTCTTAAACCGTTACCGTTGTCTATGTGCGTGACTTACAACAACACCAGCTTCAACAACACTTAATAGACAACGGTTAAAAAACCGTTGTTGTTTCTAGAAAAGACAACGGTTATTAACCGTTGTCTATGTGCGTGACATACAACAACACCGCCTTCAACAACACTTAATAGACAACGGTTAAAAAACCGTTGTTGTTTCTAGAAAAGACAACGGTTATTAACCGTTGTCTATGTGCTTGACTTACAACAACACCGGCTTCAACAACACTTAATAGACAACGGTTAAAAAACCGTTGTTGTTTCTAGAAAAGACAACAGTTAAAAAACCGTTGTCTATGCGCGGGACTTACAACAACACCGGCTTCAACAACAGAAATTATACCCCTACAACAACGGTTATTAACCGTTGTCTATGTGCATTTTTCTTGTAGTGTGAATAACTAGAAGTTGTTAGTCCACCAAACTCTGTGCCTTATATAATCCTGGATTGATGGGATACAAGATGATTGATGTTAGCACATTCAGTTACGGTACTCAGACTGCTCAGTAGATATCAATACACCATCTAGGATTCTGAGTCAGGTCTGAGGCAAAATATGGCTAACGGTCTACTGTTAAGAGGCAACACAACAGGAACATCAACCATGGCTGGAGATCAACACGGCTACGCTTCCGCTATCATACGAGGTCAGATTTCTCGTATACTATGGTTTATTACAGTTAGATTATTTAGATATAATATTTGGTATCAGAGCCATTTATAATCTCTGTCTGGTTGATTGTTTTGTCTAAAACGATATTAAGTTAATTTTCATATACATCAAAAAAATTTTGCAGATTTTTGGACTGCTAAATTTTTTAGCATTAAGCACAATTTTTAATTTTTTTTTTCCTTCTCTGGAATTATTTTTGTGACTTTTCTGAGCAACGTGATTTTGGGGACCACCGCCATAGAAATTTGGCCGGAGGAACGGGGGCGATTGGTTCGTGGACTACGAGAGAATCACCGGATCGAGTTCACTGGTGCTTTTGGTTGTCTTCGACGCGCCCCCGGCCTTTGTTGGTGGCGGCAAACGGTGGACAGCTTGGTGGAGGTTGCATCGCGATTTGGAGAAGACGGCGGCGACGAAGCTGGGCTTCGGCGACGTCTGGCTCCCTCTCCTCCTTCAGGCGACACTGTCATGCTTGAATCGCCAGTGGTGGCGCTGGTGCTAGGACTGACGACTGGTAACCTTACTTCTCTGTCGGCGGTGGCCTAGTTTTCCGACGTTCTTTTTTGGAAGAGGATGGATGACTGGGAAAGGTACGTTGTACGCTATGTTTCCCATGAAAATGCAATCTTATTTTATTTACCATATTAATATTTTGCCTTTATAGATATTAACTTTGGTAATGGTAATTATTTAGTTTAATATTACCTTAACTAATATTTATTATTTTGGCAATTGGTAAATATAAAGTAATTGCATAATTTTGGAATATTGATGCCTTTCAATTTCCTCTTAATTAATTAATTTTGACATTGAATTCATTATTAAATTATTATTCAATTTGAGCAAATATTAAGTTTTAATTTGCTATTTAAATTTTAATTTAATGTTAAGGTGCAAATTAAATTGCCTCAAGTATTGCAATTTACTTAGGATATATGGGTTAATAATACATTAATATGCAAATCCAAGCATGCTACGTATATTTATTAAATAATTATTTTATTATTATAATTATACATTTATAAAATCATGCGTTATGGTTGGATATAGCATATTATTAATTCATAAATTAATTATTAAATATCATTAAATTTTGGATCCTTAGGTCACTTTTAGATATTATGACCTACTAAAGTAGCTTGTTTTGGTTTCCCCTTATTTTTTAGCACATTTTAATTTTATGTGTCTTTGGGACTTTAGAACCTATTTTGAACAATCTATTTGGGACCTATCTTGGGTCATTAAAGTGTGGATCTCACCATTTTGATTGATATTTTATAATAATTATAGCTCCTTATAACATGTTTATTAAGTTTTAATTATTACTAACTACCATATTTTGGTATTCATCGTTGGTAATAATATTAAGTTTTGGGTCTATTTCAGTAGTTAGACCATTTTTTATTCATGTTATAATTCACTTGGGTCATTGAGGTTTATGTGCCTAATTTGAGTGATTAAGTGCTATAATTATTATCTCGGCTTGTTTAGAGACATTAAGGATTTAAGGATTTAATTGTTATTTTAGCTATTAAGAACTATAACTATTGTTTAAGTTGATTAAATTTTTAATCTATCAATAGTTTTTTCAGGGCCTTAATAATAAAATTAAGTCTTTAATTTTATGGCAAAAGCAATATAGTTGGTATATTGTCTATATAATGGTAATTTGGTTATTACCTTTAACTTCAGTCTCCCTAATAGCATGATTAATTATTATGTGGTAAATTGAGATTAGTATTTGACATCCCTTAATTACAGTTTTGCCTTTATTGTAATTATTATTAATTAGCATTATTACTTACTGTTATTAAGTTTAGGGGCTAATCTCATTTTATTAATTTTCATAATAATTATCATTTCATGGTAATCTGTTATATTTGGTACATTGGCATGCTTACCACTTCATTTTACATGACTATTAATGTTGGTAATTAAGTCCTACCAATAAATTTGTAAATGTACCATTGGACGCTGCATCGAGGCTACTGACACCGACAGTGAAGATGGGAGAATTCTGGAGTTTTTCTTCGGATCATCATCGTTTTTAGCGCAATGGAGAGATGCAATTTGCATCATTAAGGTTAGCCATTAATTATCTTTTATGATTATTATTGATAATTTGTGCTACATTTACAGTTAACCACTAATTTGGACTAGTCACATATTTTATCTTTAGAAAAATGGAAACATTTAAAGGTGCATTACCATACTTTAGTTTGTCGTTATTATTAATGTTAATAGTGATGTTACTTATTGCTATTAATAATTAATTAATGATAACATTAATATTGTTATGGTATTCAGATATGTACATTGAACTGTTTTCAGATAAATTTATGTGACAATGTTCCAGTACATAAAATAATTTTCTTGACATTAATGTTTTTCGAACTTCAAATTTTATTAAGTTTTTCAAAATTTTATCCCAAAACGTTTCTTAATGTTAGCAATTTTGACCATTGTTTTTTCATATTTAGTCTCCTACTTAATGTGATAATATTATTATGGCTATTTATTGCTATTTTGATTATTTGTAATTTTGCCATTAATAATAATAATATTATCAACTAAGTTATGGAGAGTGATTTTGAATCAATTTAGTAATCTTGGAAAACATATTTTCTAGGCAATTGACTTTTGTCATTAATTTCATTATTCATTTAGTTTTTTGAATTATGATTTCCCATATTTGGTTAAGTATGAAATGAATATTTTGTTTAAATTCATATCCTTTAGTTGGTTCATACTCTTTAGATTGTTTTATGCATTCGATCACATTAAGTGCATAATATTAAGTTTAATTATGTAATTAGAGTTTATGAGATTTTAATTTACAAATGCTAGCATATCCTTTTGGTTTGATATTGTTTGAATTTGTAAATTCAGTTATTTCTCATAAATTTGATCTTTATGCATTAAAACATTTTCCCATGGGCTTACAGTTTAAAAAAAATTTTAAAGTATATATTCAGTACATTATTATTCAAAATGTTGGGTCTCTTTTGGTTTGGACTAATCGATGTTTGAATATTAAGTTTATAATTTAAAATCTCATATTGTAAATTGCTTTAAGTTATGCAATTTATTTGGAATATATGAGTTTAATGTTTTATGCATATTTGTCCTAAGCATAATATTCTGTTTTAAATTATGCAATTTTATTATGCCTTTAGCAATGCATACTTTGAGATGGAATTATATTAGTTACTATTTAAGTTGGACTTACGCATAAACTTTAGTTGCGGTAGTGCCTGAATTTAAGCACGTTTAGTCCGCTATTTTTAGTTCACCATTTAAGCTTTAATCATAGGTGAACCCTACAGTTTTTTGGTGTATACCCTACAGTTTTAGGTTCATACCCCCAAACAGTTATACATTTAGTATATATGAATCGGGGAGACATACTAGTTTTAATGGCCATGAGTTAAGAACATCTTGTGCCACTAGTCTCCTTAAATTGATACTCTATTTAAGGAATTGGTTTTCAGTGAAACTTAGTCTCTAACCGCCTTTCCTTGGAGTATATTTAGATTTTCCCATCACAATCTGGTATAATCTGTTTGTCAAAATTTTAAGTATTCCATGCCAATGTGATTTGATTTCGGTTTATTAAAGAATAGCCAAAGCATCTTTAATTTACTGAAGTCTCTTAAGTTTTCAATCTTGGTTAATTAAGGAATAGCTACAACATATTCAGCTACCTAAGATTATTATGTTTTAATCACATAAAGTTTAGGCAAGAATTTGAT